ACCAGCGACTTGCGCCGCGGCACCTCCTTGTTCACTTGGGCGCAGAACCCAAAATCCGAGAGTTTCACCTGCGAACGGAGCCGGGGGTGGTCGGGGCTGGGGGCAGGGAGGGCCAGGGGGGCCCGGGGGGGTTTTGTTGGGGGTAGGGGGGGCCATACCCGCCCGTCATGCGTGAGGAGGATGGAGTCGCTCTTGATGTCGCGGTGGATGACGCCCTGGGCGTGGAGCACGGCGAGCGCCCGCAGCACCGACAGGCACACGGCCGCAATCTGCTCCTCCGTCATCCTGCACAAGGGGGGGGAGATCAGGGGGGCGTGGGGTGGCACAGGAGGCACCCAGGGAGAGGGAACCGGGGGTACCTGGTGTGGGTGACGATGTCGGTCAAGGCGCCGCCCTCCAGGAACTCCATGACCACCCAGAGCTCGTCGCCCACCAGGTAACTGTTGTACATCTCCACCACGTTCTCGTGCTGGTAGTCCCGCATGATCACCACCTGCGAGGGGGGAACACGCGGCGCTGGGACCCCCGAGACCCACCCAGCCCTGTCAGGGGGAGCCCCGGGGGGGTCCCCTCTGCCCTCACCTCGTTGAAGAGCAGCTCCCGCCGCTGCTGCTTGCGCAGGTCCATCTTCTTGACGGCCACGAGCTTGCCGGAGCCGCGCACGGTGGCGATGCACACGATGCCCGTGGAGCCCTCCCCGATCTTGATGAAGTTGTCCAGGTACGTGCGGGGGTCCCCGGGGTCCACCACCATCTGCAGCGCCGCCCGGAACTGCTCGTGGGACACGCGCTGGGGCCCCCCCGGGGCGGGCGGGGGGCCGGGGGGCCGCGCGGCCGGAGGGTCCGGCCCGGGGGGCGGCGGTGGCTCCGGGGCTTTGGGGCGCGGGGGGCCGGGGGCGTGGGAGGAGGAGCCGGGACCGCCGGGGCCACCGGCGGGGACCGGCCCGTTGGGCGTCACCTCCTGCGGGCGTCCCGGCCGGTGCTCTGCCTGCGGGGAGAGGGGGACGGGGGGGTCAGCCTCCTGAAATCCCACAGGATCTGTGCCCCAGAGCGTTGGGAGCCAACGCCGGAGCCTCCAGCCAGAGGCCAAAGGAAAGGTTTGAGTGAGGAAGAGGAAGAAGAAGGCGCTCTGGTGCTCAGGATGCAGCACCGGGAAGGACGGGGCAGCTGTGGAAGCTTCAGCATGGCCCGATCCCCACCGGAGCGTGGGAGCTGCGAAGAAGAGGAGCAGAGAAGCCACTTCCAAGGAGGAAGAGAAAGAAGCAGAGCGAGGAAGGGGACGAGGAAGAAGAGAAAGCTGCTCTGATGACGAGGACACGGCACCAGGAAGGTGGTGGATTCCACTGCAGCCATGAGAAAGAGCAGGAGAAAAACCACTTCCAAGGAAGAAGAGGAAACGCAGAGTGAAGAAAAAGAGGAAGAGAAAGAGGAAGCAAACAAAACTGCACTGATGCCAAGGACACGGCACCAGGAAGGGAAGCAGGTGGATCCCACTGGAGCCACGAGGAAGAGGAGCAGAGAAGCCACTTCCAAGGAGAAAGAGCAGAAGCAGAGTAAGGAAGAGGAAGAGAAAAAAAGAGGAAGCTGCCCTGGTGCCAAGGACACGGCACTGGGAAGGGAAGCAGGTGGCCTTTGGCACACCCTGATCCTGCCGGAGCCGCGAGGAAGAGGAGCAGAGACGCCGCTCCCGAAGAGCAAGAGGAGGATGAGGAAGTGGAGGAAGAGCCCGGGGTGGGACCCCCATTTACCTGGGCGGGGGGGCCCCGGGCGGGGTCGGTGTCGGCGCGGGGGTAGGTGTGGAAGGGGCGTCCGGGCTGCGGCGCCGTCTTCGGCCCCGCTCCGGGAGCGCCGGGAACGCCGGGAATGTCGGGGGGCCGCAGGTCGGGCCCCGAGAGCGGGCGCTGCTCACGGGGGGGGGGCCGGGGGGCCCCCTCGCCAGCCGAGCTGGACTTGGGGCGCTTCTCCTCCCGCCGCAGCCCCCCGGGGCCGGGCGCGGTCGGGGGGTCCCGCTCGGCCGCACCTTTGGGGGGGCCCGGCTCCGGCCCCCCCCCGGGGGCCCTTCCGGGGGGGGGCCGGGCCGTCCGCCGGGGGGGGGGGGGCCGGGGGGGGGCGGGGGGGGCTGTCCCGGCGCAGGGAGTTGGAGCGGGACACGGACACGGCCTCCAGCTCGTCCAGGAGCCACGCCAGGGTCCCGTCCCGGCCCCCGGGGGCCCCATCCCGGGGGGCCTTGGAGCCGCGAACGATGGGCTGTGGGGAGGGGGGGGGACGACAGAACACGGGGAAAACGGGGAGAAAAGGGAAAAAAAAACCAACAAAAAAAATGAAATGGAAGGGGGGGGGGGAGAAGGGATGGCAGGGATGGACAGGAGGGAAGGGGGGCACGGGGGACACAGTGGGATGGAGAGGGTGAGGGGGGTGAGCAGCAAAGGGGGGGGAATGGGGGGGTGGGAATGGGGGGGTGGGAATGGGAGGGGTGTGGGAATGGGAAAAGCTCCCGACTCAGGGCACAGACTTAAAAAAATGGGAAAACACAGCATGGGGGAGGGATCAGGTGGGAATGACCCTAAATTCCTGCGGGATGGGCTTGTTCCAAGTGTGGGGAGGAGTCTCAGTTGGGTGGTCCCTGTCCTGGGGGCCCCCAATGCTCCCTCACCTGCTCCAGGACACCCCAGGTAGAGGGGATGGACCCAAATTCGCCCCAGTTTGGATTTTTGATCCTAAAGAGAGGGCAGGAGCCACTTCCCTGCTCCGTCACCCTCCAGTTTCCCCCTGCTTCCCCCCAAAGAGGGGGTGGGGACCCAACTGCCACTCCCCTGCTCTGGGACCACCCCCCAGGACAGCCCAGACCCCATGGGGGCTGTGAATGGCACCCTGACCCCCTCTCCTGACAGCCCAGACCTCGGAGGGTTCCCCAATACCCCCAAGGATCCTCTCTGTTTTTGGGGCCCACAAACGGTTCCCCGATCCCCCTCAGGGATCCCCCCACCTTGTGGGGCCTGCCAACCGTTCCTAAATTCCCCCCCCCGGGGCCCCCCCCCGTTTTGAGGTCCATCCAGGGCCGGTGGCCCCACCTTTTGGGGGGCGCGGATGGCGGTGATGCAGGCGGGGTCCACGAGGGGCTTGGGGCGCCGGGCCGACTCCTCGAGCAGCCCCTGCCACTGGCGGGGCAGCCCCGTGAAGCGCTGCTCCGACGGGTCGTACCCCGTGTGCACCCGGTGCTCGAAGTTGGACGGGGCCGAGATCTCCACCCGCTTCTTCTTCTTGGAGAACATGGCGAGGGGTCACCTGGGAACGAGGGGGGATGGGTGAGCGGGACACCTGGGAATGGGGGGGGACAGGGGAGTGGGACACCTGGGAATGGGGGGGAACATGGAACAGGATCAGTGCCATCCTACAGTTCCATCTCGGAGGATTTTGGAAATGGGATCCCATCAATCAGCACCGAATCCTTCTGGGAATGGTCCCAAAATCCCAGGGATTTGGGCTGGATCTGTTTTTCCCACTTTTGCTGCTCCTGGGGGCCGATCTCCTGCTGTTTCCCCCCATTTTTCCATCTGCTCCCACAGGCTCAATCCCACCTCCCAGGCTCTGGAATTCTGCTGCCTCCAAGTCTTTCTCTCCGTTTTTCCCAATTTTTGAGGTTTTTCTCCTCAAATCCGTGATCCATTGGGCAAGTTTTTTCTCCTCCTCCACTTCCATACTGCTCAAAATCCGCTGGAATTCTGTACATTCCCCGTTTTCCCTGCTCATCCCGGTCTGATCCCTCCTTCCACCTTTCCAGGATCCTCCCTGAGCTGCCAAAATCCCATTTCTGGGTGGAAAATTCTCCTGGACTGGGGAAGCAATGGTCAAATTCGGAGTGGGGCGATTAACATCTGCTGGGTTTGGGTTTGTCCTGCTGAGAATTCCATGGGAAAGATTCCTGGAGGATCCGGGTGCAGCATCCCGTGCCTCCAAACACCAAATCCACCTGATTTCACCCCAAAAATATCCTTTTTTGGAGCTGGTGGGGGAAAGCCAGCAGCACTGGGGCAGGGGGACAGAGGGATCCTGGAGAATTCCAGAGGGTGGGATGCAGGTCAGGAGGAGGTTAACCCCCCCCCCCCACATTCCTCAGTCCTTTGCAGGTCACATTCCCTGGATCCCGCTGGGTTTAATTAGTCACCAATTAACGAGGAACCGACTCAACACACAGGGCGGAGCATTCTCCTATTTTCCCCCAAATTCCCAAAACTCCCCCCAAACCAGTGCTGTTCTGGCTGTATCCTGGTGGGAATTGTCGTGGCACCTTTGGCATAAAAAATAAAGGGAAAAATAAAACGGAAAGAAGGATGCAGGGAGGTGATTCCTGTCCTTCCCATAAATCCCAAATCTTCTCGCAGGAAGAACCACCTTGGTGGAAAATCCCTGAGCTGCCTTTTCTTCCCACAAAATCGTTTTCCTGGTGCCAGCAGGGGCAGGGACAGACTTGAATCTCTCCAATTCCGGGTTTTCCACCAAAAAAAATTCCAGCAGCAGTTTGGGATCCTCGGGAAGCAGCTCCTGAAGGCGGGGACGGATCAAAGCTCATCGAGAAGCCCCCAAAACTCCCGTAATTCCGAGGGAACCAGTGAAGGTTACGTTTTCCTGACCCGCACGGATCATCCTGAGGATTCCTGGAGCTCCCTCCCAGCTCCGGGATCACACCTGATATCCCAAATCCCAGCCAGCCCTGCTGGGGGTGGGTGGGGAGGCGTCGCTCCAGGTGCTGTTTTCCTTAAATAAAACCCCAGGAAGGGAAGCGGCACCGGGTGGGTCCCGTACCTGGGACAAATCCCAGGATTTCCCCCATGGGGTCACATTCCCGGGGCCGGGAGGGCGGAAGGACGTGGCCGGGCCGTGCCGGAGGGATCCGGAGCCGCGCCGGGAAGGGCGGGTTGGACTGGAAGGGCTGGATCTGCCGGGAGGGGGAGGAGGAAGAGGAGGAGGAAGAGGAGAAGAGGTGTTGAAAAGCCTCAGAAAACCGGCCCCAGGAGAGGAATCCTGGAATTCCAGGAATCCGGTGACCCCTGTGGAGGCCACACAAAGTCAAAGGGGATTCGTTTCCTTCCTTAAAAGAAAACTTCCCGGAACTGGAACATCAAAGGTTCTGGGAAAGGAATCAGCACGTTCCAGGGATTGCTGGGAAAAAAGGAAAGGGGGAAAGGGCAGGGGGAAAAAGGAACAGAGGAAAGGAGGAAGAAGGAGGAGGAAAACAAAAAAAGGAGAGAAAAAACAAAGAACAAGAAGAGAGAAAAGGAGAAAAAGGGGGGAAAAAAGAAAAAGAGGAAAAAGAAGGAAAAAGGGGGAAAACAAGAACAAAAATCAAAAAGAAGGAAAAGGGAAAAGTAACAAAAAGGGGGAAAGAGACAAAAGAAGGGAAAAGAGGAAAAGGAAAAAGGAAAAAAAAAAGGAGAAAACAAAAAAAAAAGGGGAAAAGGAGAAAGGGAATTTCTGGTGGAATTTGTCTCCTTTCCCACAGCAAGAAGTTTCCTCCAAGCTGTTCCTCAGGAATCCAAGGGATCCCAAATTCCCCAGCTTGGCCTATCTTTTTCCTCCTTTTCCTTGGAGGAGCAGCGATGGGAACACCAGGAAGACATCGGGAACGGCGATTTCCCTCCCCAACCTGGGGGAAAACCCCCCGGTTTTGAGGAGTCGGGACATTCACGAGGATTCCCAGTGCCCGGAATTCCTGACTCAAATTCGCAGGAAACGCTGGGAAAATCCATCCAAGGGCCCTGGATAGAGCAGGGGGACGAGACCCCCCCACAGGGATGGGATAAAGAATTCCAGGGAATTTCTGGACCTGTTTCCTACCTGCCAGGAAGGGGAAACTGTCCCACCTCAGCTCCGCATTCCGGACCCTCCGGGAAAGGCGCTGCACGGAAATAACGGAACTCCCTCAGGATCAGCCCCAAACCCCCACTTTGGGGGCTTTATAGGA